ATCACAAATTCAGACATGGTTTTATGTTTACGCGGCACGATGCAACGCAGTGCGTAAAAAGACAGTATAAGTCATTATAATCAGTAATTATGGCCCCACTGGATGCAACAAATGCCTCCTTTATAATGGGTTTTTAATGTTTTTGTCTCGTCGCTCCAGCCGGACACGGCATCATTTCTGTCACTCGCTTGAGGTATTCGGCCAATCACAACGCATTGGATAGCTGGCCAATCACAGCTCACCTCGCTTTTTCAGACCGATGAGCTTTGTAAAAATCAACGCGTTTCAGAAAGGCGGGGCATAGAGGAGAAACAATAATGTACAGTATGTGGAAAATAATGTTTTTTTTTACTTTAAACCGCATAAACACATTTCATTACACCAAATACACAAAATAATGTTCTTTTTAGCAACATCATATGACCCCTTTAAGTTGAAATTTGAACACAGGGTTTTTACTTGGTGACAAGACTTTTTTTAATGGGTTAACTAAAAAAAAACACTTTGGTTGAGCATCATTCAATCACTGACAGCGGTATTTGGACATGTCTAATTTTAGTTGATCCTACATGAAGTATTTCAATAGAGATAACGTTTCCGTTGTGTGGAACCTCTATCCGTAATTAAATCACTTAAGTGCTAATAGTAACTTTTTATATCCATAGCACTTGCTTTGGCATTGCTGTTTTTTTTTTTTAATTTATTGATTACTTCAGATCCTCAACCCCAGCACATGCTCAACACAACGGTACAATGTACAATGGTAACTAACCCCCAAAACACTAACATGACAATGTCTTTTAATATACCAACATAATAGAACATTAAACAATAATAAGCCTCCCTATTTTCTCATCTTGTTAAAAAAATGCATAAAACAACACTTTATTTCAACATTTTCTCTCCCCATGTCCAGCTCCATGCAAAACATGATGGGAATTGTGCAATTTATTTTGAGCTCAGTTTAACATGATGCAGTCAAACCTGATACAATAGTGTTAAATCAAAATGAATAGTTAAAACAAAGTGAACAGCATCAAAAAAATCAGCTGAGTGGACTTGGTGAGTGGACTTCCACCCCAGTTCCACAATTTCTGCATGAAAATGAAGCACAAGGCTGTGGGCGGGGCTTGGCTGCTGTGTTTTGATCTGATTGGGCGGTTCTTCCTTGTGATTGACAGCTGCAATGTAACTCAACGTGGCAAAATAAACTCCATAGGAATGAACTTTCTCTTCGGTGCTGAAACAGCACCTGTATTTTAAAATTTAATTGATCGTTTAGTCACGACGCATTTTATTGTGTTGTTGGTCTTTGGGGTCCTGACATTTCAGCTGAATTTGAAGCGTTTAAAAGTGTTGGATAATTTCTTTGATTTGTGTGTGATCTTCAGAGGACAACGAAGAGGTTTTCTTGGAGGAATCTGCTACAGTATCAATCATAAGAGGGGTAGGTTATGATGAGAAAGGTTATTAATTTTTGTTATTTACTTTTTAAGTCAGATGACATTTGCATAGTTTTAATAATAAATAAGAAGTTTTAAAATTATATTTAATTTGCATTGTAGAGTCGATGTAGTCTGTATGTTGCTTTTATTAAATGAATCTTAGAACAATCTAATGCAATTATTAACCCTGGCAAGGATTATTTACGATATATGAGAGTAAAGTTTTGTGTCCTGGTCAGTTGTGTCACTTTGACAGTGAAATAAGATGCAAAGTGCCAGCAGCGCCACCTGCTTGAGAGTGACTTTTACAAGCTCTGCATCATTCTGTTCTGAAGTTGCATCATTCATCAACTTTCTGAAGGAAGTGAAGAGCCGCATGTCAACTGTACAGAACATGCAGAATCATGCTAAAGTATAAATAAACAATTCAGCTGATGATATAGAAGCAGATAGTTACTGATGGTAAACTGATTCGAATGCGTTGCAAGGAAAAACAAAGGGAAGCTTTGTTGTGTGTATATTACAGAAGAAACGGTAATGCAATATATTTAATGCATCAGTAACGTTGAGCATTTCTTCCTATACCTGTTGTTATAATTATACATTTAAATAACTTTTTATACTCGAACTTTTTTTAAGTTTAGAAAATAATAAGGTATAATATAAAATTACAAAATAATAATATTTTGTTCACAAAGTTTAGTCGCATACGTGTGAGTGGGCGGGGCCATATGGCGAGGGTGTTGCCTGCGGTTCCGTGAATACACAACCGCTACGGAAGCGTACGCCGCATTGAAAGTGCGCGAAAATAAATGTTTTTCTTTGTCGCTATGTACTTTAAATCCTTGTTTCTGTAATTTGTATTTGTATGGATCAGCTGGGGGACTTGGAAAAGGGGTATTATTAAGAGGATTTCAGCCGCACGTGAGAGCCGGTGACAATAGCGCGCGCCATAAATCATTAACACGTGCGCGTGCCTTTGAGAATCACAGCAGCGGTGAGAATTTAATTAATTCCTATATTTAATATGTGTACATAGATATTAATAGTAAGCTTTACGGTTTTATATGCGAATTTGGGCGCATATTGGTGATTATTTCATTTTTGTTTCATATGGGAGATGCACCAGCCGATCTCTTTGACTGCTTCAGCTGCTTTACTGGTTCTGCAGTGTTAGATCTCATTTAAACAGCTTTTGGTTTTGTTTTATCGTGCACTGAAAAACGTATTTATGCATTTAGAGCATAAACTGGCACTGATGTTTCCTGCTGTCAGTGTTAGGAAACGCACGCATGCGCACATACACTAAAAGCGCTTTCCATGGTGATGAAAAACATGTCTAAAGAATATCTCTTTGGATTTGAGACTTTAGTCTTTGCAACTTTACAGATCTTCTTTATGCACCAAGAGCTTGTAACACTCCAAAGAGAAAGGAAAAAATGAAATTGCATCATATGACCCCTTTAAATAAAATTTTTTTTGTTTTTTTGGGTCTTGACGAGACGGTTCACTTGAGTTATTATTGCATTTACCCTGTCTGTGACCTTAAATGTGGGCTCAGATATATTTTTTTTGGTCCATTTTAGTCTACTTACTTTTAATACCGTAATGTTCTATTTTGAATCGTTAATCACTTGAATGTTGTAGTAGAATAATGCATTAGAATAATCAGTCTCTTATTGTTTTTGATGATGATAATGGAACACTTATTAGTAGTACATTAATATTCAGTAGTATGTTATGTAGTAATTAGCATTTTCAAATAAACACATTGAAAGATGTCATTCTTTAAAACAAGATCAAGCTTTTGTTTAATTGCATGTCATCATTGTCTTTGTATAATAACCTGTATGGTTAAAATATTCATAATTATGCAAATTAAAATAAACAAGCACACAAGTTGCATATTATAAGCAATCATCACTGAGATGCTAAAACGTCTTAAAACTAAGAAGTTTTAGTGTGTTCACATATAAAACAAACTGACATCTGGTCAAAACAGTTTAAAAACATTTTTTAAAATCCATATCCGGTATTTACAAATGACTGGAAACTCACAAATCAAACCATGTTCACATGATGCCTTCTAATGCTGTTTGTTGCTTTTACTCCATCATCTGTTTGGACTGATTACTCAAACGGAAGTGAACTTGAATAGCCGTCAGACACGAAGCAGCACACGTGATTGAGCAGTTTTATGACTGAACTGGCAAGACGAGGTTGATTTTTATAGCTGCATATTTTATAACAAAGATAAATTCGCAGTGGCTTTATGTGTGATTTGTTTGAATGGGCAAACGAGTGTCTGTTTCTCTCTCAGATGACGTCAGAGAAGCCGCCGTTGCCTGCGGATGGCCAGCGGGACGAAGCTGAACCGGGTTTAGGGCTCGAGCCGGAGGTCACAATGGAAACGGCCCGGGACGGCTGGGACAGCAAGGTGGAGTATTTCCTCGCTCAGGTGGGATTCAGTGTGGGATTGGGAAACGTTTGGAGGTTCCCGTACCTCTGCCACCAGAACGGAGGAGGTGAGTGAGGAGGAGATTGTTTTGCATGTATGCAAATCATATCCAGGTTTGTTTTTAGTTTATAATTGTCGTATTGTTTCATGTCCTTCAGGAGCGTTCATCTTGCTGTATGTGCTGTTGATGGTGCTGGTCGGTGTGCCGTTGTTTTTTCTGGAGCTGGCGGCGGGTCAGAGCATCAGACAGGGCAGCATCGGCGTCTGGAGGCACATTTCTCCAAAACTAGTTGGCATTGGCTACTCCAGCTGTGTGGTGAGTATTATCTTGCTTTATTAGTCAGTTGCACTGATGCATAATAAAGAAACTGAACTTTTTTTATAGCAGACTGCACAAAATTGCAATTACAAAAATATAATTAAAGTCCCCCTTCAGTCAATAATTTTTATCTCTAAATGCCTTATTATTATGTCAAAATGACATGTTTTAAAATTGTTTGTTTCTGTGAAAATATGTATTCTTTGTTCCTTAAAATGACTTAAATGTAACTATACACCTTGACCGCATTTAAAGGAGTCATATGATGCTGCTAAAAAGAACATTATTTTGTGTATTTGGTGTAATGAAATGTGTTTATGCGGTTTAAATAAAAAAAAACACATTATTTTCCACATACTGTCAGATCGTGACGTAGGTATGTGGGGGTGTGTTAGAACGAGCCGTTTTAGGTAGGCGTGGTTAACTCTTAACTTTTATAAAGAATATCTCTTTGGATTTGAGACTTTAGTCTTTGCAACTTTACAGATCTTCTTTATGCACCAAGAGCTTGTAACATTCCAAAGAGAAAGGAAAAATTGAAATCGCATCATATGACCCCTTTAATACTGGTGGCCTTAGTTTCATATTTAAGTATATAAATCATATGTAATAATTGTACAAATGATCTAATTACGTTATTTATGCAATTGCAAATGCATTAAATGCATAGTTCACCCAAAAAGGAAAATTCAGTCATTAATTATTCACCCTCATGTCATTCCAAAGCCCTAAGACCTTCATCTTCGCAACACAAATTAAGATATTTTTGATGAAATCCCAGAGCTCACAGACCCTGCGTAGACAGCAACGCAACTGCAATGTTCCCAGTCCCAGAAACGTAAGAAGGACATCGGTAAAATAATCCATGTGACATCAGTGGTTCAGCCGTAATTTTACGAAGCTACGAAAATACTTTTTGTGCACAAAGAAAACAAACAAAAAAAGACTTTATTTAACAATTCTTCTCCTCCTCATCCTGTCTGCCGTGGCGTGCCGCCATTTTGAAGAGTATCATGACCCATGCGTGTTTCCCATTTCTGGACTTGGGAACATTTCAGTTGTGTTGCTGTCTATGGGAGGGTCTGAGAGCTCTCGGATTTAATCAAAAATATCTTAATTTGTGTTCCGAAGATGAACGTAGGTCTTACAGATTTGGAACAACATAAAGGTGAGTAATTAATGACAGAATTTTCATTTTTGGGTGAACTATCCCTTTAAAAAAAAACACTCAAATAAATGTATTATATAATTATTTTTATCGATAGAATCCCTGAAAATTGAGGGACATTTTCCTATTTTTTTTTTTTCCCAAAAGTATACACTCCTACCATACAGTATTAATTTATATTACTTCAGGTCTTAAAAAGCATTAAATGTGCCTTTACAAAATGTGCCGGAATCCTGTGGTAATGCATTTTATGTATCGCTCTCCAGTGCTGGGTAGATTACTTGCCAATTGTAGTCCATTACTGATTACAAATTACATGATGAAAATTGTAGTTAGTAACATAATGTGGATAACTATATGGATGACTAGTTTTTTTTTTTAATACTTTTAGATTACTTTTGACTAGGGCTGAAATGATTAGTCAACATTATCGACAATGTCGACATTAAAAAATTATCGACAAATATTTTTATCAAGTAGTTGTTTGATCTCATGTGAGCTAATGTAAGAGCCTGCAATAATGTAGTTTGACCAGTGTGGCGCTGTATCGCAAGACTGTAATTCAGCCCTCCTGGATGCAATTCAAGAGAAGAAGAGACAGCACATCAGAGCAAACGTAGCAGAACCTGAAGCTGCTAAGCGGCGTTTGGATGAGTGTGCGCTTTCCTCTCAGTAACGAAATAAACACAACAAAAACAGCGGTGAGAAAGCAGTAGTTAAGAACGCATCTGATTACAGCGATGTGGATGTTTGAACGAGCTCTGCAGTTCGGTACTCCAGTAAAGTCCAGTCATCGTCACGCTTATTTATATAGTACTTTATGCAATCGATAGCCTTAACTCAAGCAGCTTTACAGTATTAAACGTGAAAAACCAGAGTCAGTGTTGCTTTTAACATAATATCTGTAGTAAATTCTGCTCCATCTGAAAGCACGTGATGATGATTTCCTGCTGATTACAGAACCGGCTTTTTTAACAAAATGCGCATGACAATCGCATTCGATTAATCGTGCAGCCCTAAGCACCGCTTTGCAATTTGACAGGATTTGATACATGAAACAGGAACTGTTTCAAGTCTTATTTTTGAGACTGTCTTTGGTACACTGCAGTTTTATAGAAAGAAATGCTCAGCAATGGTGTCGACTGATGAATTTGCATATGGTTTTTCTTTAAGCATTTTAACAACAACAGATAGACATGTAAACAATATTAAAACTTGATTTTCACAATGTTAATTTACTCTTTAATACACTGTTTTTCCTGTTCTCTTTTTATGTCCCAGGTGTGTTTCTTTGTAGCTCTGTATTATAACGTCATAATCGGTTGGAGTATTTTTTATTTGGGAAGTTCTTTCAAGTATCCTCTACTGTGGGAAACCTGTCCAACAGAAGGGAACGGCACCGGTAAGGATTAGGAGTTTGTGTAGTGCATTATAAAATGAGTAGTTTTCACTTGTGAGATTAGATATGAAGAACTGATGCCAGAAATCTGACTTTTTACGTGGAGATGCATTGTCTTATTTTCACTCACAGTGAAGGAATGTGCCGCCAGCTCTCCCACAGCGTATTTCTGGTACCGTAAAGCTCTGGATATCACCGATTCCATTGACGAAACCGGAGAGTTCAACCCCATCATCACTGGATGTCTGCTGGCCGCTTGGGTCATCGTCTGTCTGGCCATGTATAAGGGCATCAAATCGACCGGAAAGGTACTTGGAGTTTGTGTTTGTGTCATGAATGTGAATGTATATATGATGTTTATTTTGTGTTGTAATGTGATTATTGATGATATTAATCAGTATTGGTTGTGTGTAGGTGATGTATTTCTCCTCCGTGTTTCCGTACGTGGTGCTGCTGTGTTTCCTGATCAGAGGCGTGACACTGGACGGGGCGTCCGAGGGCATTAAATTCATGTTTTACCCCAGGGTACGTAAACAAACACTAAACTGTGTGTTTGAGTTGGAGATTTACAGTATATATTGAAGATTACCGTAGTCCATAAAAACAATCACCAAAATGGTGTCTTCTCTGTGTCGTGTTATTTACCTAAAAATCAGTGTTGTTTAGTATTATTTATGTAGTAATATAGAATTTTTTTTTTTATGTTTTCAATTTTTTCAATTTTAGTAATTGTGCTTTCATAATTTTTATTAGTTTTTTTATATTTCTATTTAGCTTTTATTTTTTTTATTCCAGTTTTAGTATTTCAAGAAAAACATTTATATTAGTTGACAAGCCAACATTTTAAATGTAAGTAAATGTTTGTTGTGGTTGATTCTCTCAGCTGGAGATCTGGGCTGACGTTCAGGTGTGGCGTCAGGCGGCGACTCAGGTGTTCTTTGCTCTGGGTTTGGGTTTCGGTTCTGTGATCGCGTACTCTTCCTACAACCCGCGGAACAACAACTGCCATCGAGACGCGTTCACCGTGTCTGGAGTCAACTTAATGACGTCCATTCTGGCCACGCTAGTGGTGTTTGCCGTGCTGGGCTTCAGAGCCAAAACCATCGCCACAGAGTGTGTTAAACGGTCAGTATGCAGCTCAAAAAAACGAATGATCTGTGAATGTTTGATCTTAAAATGCATTATAATGCCTCATGTATATAAGTATATTTTACTGAAGCTTTAAGATGTTTAGCTGTTTGTATGTGTATGTTGCAGTAACATGAAGGCCGCGTTTGAAGCGATGTCCAGCACTCCTTTGCCTGACCTCCTCATCAATGCGTCAGATGTGGAGAACATGACATTGAACGAGTATGAGCACTGGTACAGGACTCGGGGCCAGCAGCTGAATATTTCCGGTTACAACATCACCGCCTGCAGCCTGGAGGAGGAGCTGAAACAAGTACAGAACATAACTACATGTTTTATCTTTTCTGAACAAAACATGAGTGGTGCAAATTTTTTTATGCAATTAGCTACATTGCTTGATGTTTTAGGTGGTTGCTAGGGTATTGCTGAAATATTTTGGGTGGTTGCTAGGGTATTATTGGAATGTTTTGGGTGGTTGTTATTAGTGTTGTCAAAAGTACCGACCACGATATCATTCAGTACTGAAATGTTGAGAGCCGCGTCTATCAGCTGATCCGTCACCGTCAGCGGATCCCAAATATATTTGCACATAGACGGATCAGCTGATAGACGCGGCTCTCAAACTCTCTCGTGTGTTTCTGTGTGAGCCCTCATGAAGCGATGATCATTGTAGCCGATCACAGACACATCTGTTGAGTGCGTGAACACAATGACCAATAGGGCTGCACGATAAATCGCATGCGATATTTAACACGCATCTTGTCAGTAAAGCCGGTTCTGTAATCAGCGTTTCAGCGCTTTCACATGGAGCAGCATTTACTACACAGAGCCGTTGTTCGCCAACAAGCTGCGCAAAACCACGATCATATTTTGCGCATGTTTTGTGCAGCTTGTCAGTGAACAACGGCTCTGTGTAGTAAATGCTGCTCCATGTGAAAGCGCTGAAACGCTGATTACAGAACCGGCTTTACTGACAAGATGCGCGTTAAATATCACATGCGATTTATCGTGCAACCCTAATGACCAATCAGCGCTGTTTAACAATCTGCTCAACAGCGCTCAAATCTTCGCAGGAAATGGACGCTTTTAAAATTTCAATATCGAATGGTATCGCGGTCGGTACTTTTGACAACACTAGTTGTTAGAGTATTATTGGAATGTTTTGGGTGGTTCCTAGGGCTTTACTGGAATGTTTTGGGTGGTTGCTAGGGTATAATTGGAATGTTTTGGGTGGTTGCTGGGAGATCGCTTTGCTTTTGAATGGTTGCTAGGTTATTGGAATGTTTTGAGTGGTTGCTAGCTTATTGGATTGTTTTAGGTGGTTGCTAGGGCATTATTGGAATGTTTTGGGTGGTTGCTGGGGTATTGCTTTGTTTTTGAGTGGTTGCTAGTTTATTGGATTTTTTTGGGTGATGGCTAGACCATTATTGGCTTGTTTTGGGTGGTTGCTAGGGCATCATTGGAATGTTTTGAGTGGTTGCTAGTTTATTGGATTTTTTTGGGTGGTTGCTAGACCATTATTGGAATGTTTTGGGTGGTTGCTACTTGCTAGGGTATTAGGGATGTAACGATTCACTCAACTCACGATTCAATTCGTCAAATAAATAAGTAACACAAATAAAATAAATCTCTTCATATAAACAAACTAAGGCTTTGTCTGTCCTCTTTCCATTTAAAATTAGAGGCAACCACTGCATTTTAATCATGATCCAAACCAGGGCTCCAGACTGCGACCATTTTTTCTGCCTGTGCGACTAAATTTTGTGTGCGGTCGCACTGGTGCGACCACCGCGTTGGTCAACTCATAAGCGCTCCAATTTCTGTTGCATATGAGAAACATCAAAGGGCAAACGAAACTGAAAGCATAACGAAACAGCGCTTAAGAGAGTATACCTACTCAGCTACATCAAAAATGATGCGCATATTGAGAAAACGATGCATGGTTTTCAAGCGAAAGTCAAGTAAAAGACCACTTCTTAAACCAGAGAAGGTGAGCATGCTGGTGTTCTTGTGTGTGGGGGGGGGATAAGATGCCTCATCTTATTCGTTTTTGTTAAACGTTTTGTAAGCTAGTTTGTCATTGTATCTTACTGATTTATTGTTGTTGTGCTTTTTGATTAAGAATAACAATGAATCCATCTTTTGTTTTAGTCTTAAAAAATGAAAGGTGTGTAGATGTATGTAAGCAAAACAGTGACAACAAGATCGCGAATTCAAAAGTGAAAGCATCCGAAGCCCGCGGCTTAACAACACAGCAAAAGAGAAACTCCCATTCACAAAATTCAAATCACAGATAATACTACTGATGATAAAGAACGGGTTGAATGCTTGGTTTCCGCTGTAAACAAAGCAGCGCTGCACTTATGAACTTTTAATATGCATTATACAGAGGCAAGAGGAAAAGAAAAAATACCATCAAAAGACCGTAAGTTCCCCTCAGACATACATTCATATAAACTCCTACCCCTAACTGAGTCGCGATTTGTTTAGCATCTCAACCGAATCAATTTGAATCGTCACATATTTTAATCGATTTTCAACCGGCTCGCGGTTAATCGTTACATCCCTATAGGGTATTGCTTTGTTTTGAGTGGTTGCTAGGTTATTGCAATATTTTGGGTGGTTGCTGGGGTATTATTGGAAAGCTTTGGGTGGTTGCTGGGGTATTGCTTTGTTTTGAGTGGTTGCTAGGTTATTTGAATGTTTTGGGTGGTACTAGGGTATAATTAGAATGTTTTGGGTGGTTGTTAGGTTATTGGAATGTTTTGGGTGGTTGCTAGGGCATCATTGGAATGTTTTGGGTGGTTGCTAGGGCATAATTGGAATGTTTTGGGTGGTAGCTAGGGCATAATTGGAATGTTATTGGAATGTTGCTATGTCTAAGAAAAGTCATGGCAATGAATAAATCTGTAGTTCTGCTCAGTTCTGCAGTATTTCTTTGGTTAGGAGTGACTCCGATTAATGTTTAAGTTAAAGTTTGCGATCTTCTTTCTCTCTCAGGGTGTGGAGGGAACCGGTCTAGCGTTCATAGCGTTCACTGAAGCCATGACGTTGTTTCCTGGGAGTCCGTTCTGGTCGGCGCTGTTCTTTCTCATGCTGCTCAATCTGGGTTTGTCCACCATGTTCGGCACCATGGCAGGAATACTGACCCCGCTGACGGACACCTTTAAGACCCTGTGTAACCACAAATTCCTCTTTACAGGTAACACTGTTGGGTTTTTTTTATATTTGGGTTTATTTTAAAAAGCTCTTGTTTAGGTTTTGTCTGTCTCTTGGTTTTAATCAGTATTGTTGTTTTGCATGTCTGTCTGATTATTTTGTCTTTTTCCCCATCTCTCCCAGCGTGCAGCTGTGCGGTGGGCTTTCTGATCGGTCTCATGTTCACTCAGCGCTGTGGAAACTATTTTGTGGCTATGTTTGATGACTATTCTGCCACACTTCCCCTCATCATCGTCGTCATCTTCCAGACCTTCAGCGTGGCCTGGGTTTATGGAGCGGACAGGTATCACAAACCCTCCGAGCTCAAGCAGAAAAGTTTTTTTTTTTATGGTTTGAAGTGCGTAAACGTGATGTATTTTCAATGCAGGTTTTTGGAGGACCTGAAGCTGATGTTGGATCGGCCGGTTCCTGTGGTGTACAAGTACATGTGGAAGTACGTGTGTCCGGTTGCTATGCTGGGGCTTTTGGGTGCCAGTCTGCTAAAGATGGTCTTGGAGCGTCCCACATACATCGCCTGGAACAGAGAAAAGGTAAAATCATGTGTGCTCTTACAAACAAACCTTTACTTTAAACTTCTAAAGCCTACTGTATCATGTAGTGTTGTCAAAAGTACCGACTTCGGTATCAGTCGGTACTGAAATTTTAAAAATGTCCATTTCCCACAAACATTTGAGCGCTGTTGAGCTGATTCTTAACCATCGCTGACTGGCCAATGTGTTCACGCGCTTAACAGATATGACTGTGGTTGGCTAAAATGATCATCACTCGGTGCTCTCCACCGAGGCCTCTAAATGATCAACATGATCAAAGCATCGCTGATTACTTGTTGCACACAATCCCCTACAAGCCTTCTGTGGCCTGATTGATAGTTTAGACTTTTTCTGAGCATGTAAAAGGCCTTTTACTATAATTGTACAAATATCCACCTTCAGCTGGTGCTCCACGTGTCTTTCTGCTGTCAGATCTGATGATTTTATGAAGTAAACGTCTGAATAACTTTATTATTATTTCCAGATGAACACTTCCTGGACTGAATCAGCTTGGCTTTACTTGATTCTCCATGAATTAATATATATTTTTTTTTTTAGAAAAATCAATGCGTCTCAAATCTGATCATCAGGATCTTTTAAGGAATTAATGTTTGTTTCCAGAAGCTTTACTTTCACTGTTCCTCAGCGGAGGAATGATCTTCACAAGCCTCCAGAACATCTCACATCTTTAGAGAAACGTTTATTTGTTCATCTCTCAATCATCATTGGATTGCATTGCATTATATGTTTGGATCATTTCAATCTCATCTTACTAAGACATATTATTGGCAGAGTAATGACTGACATTTCTAGAATTTTATGTAGTCTGTGGTCTGTTATAAATAGTCTGTTATAAAGATCTCATTCATTTACATTACAAGCTATCAGAATTTCATCTTAATTTTTGGCCATAAAAATATCAGCAAGTGCACCAAATTGCATATTTTTGAGCTGTTTTTCCTCCATATTCTATATTAATCATACTATAGTAGTCATAAGACTGTAACAAATATGGAACTCAAAAAAACTAAAAACTAAAAATGTTCAATGATTGGTTCCTTTTTTTTTTTTTTTTTCCCCAGGGTTAGTTAACATTATTAATGTACATATTTCCAACATTTTCTCCCAGGCATCTAAGGAAGATCTACCTTATCCAGGCTGGGCTCTTGCTGTCCTGAGCACGCTCATCGTTGTCGCATTTCTTCCTGTTCCTATTGGATTCATACATTCCCTCCTCCTGGAACGGCTCGGCCAGTCTCCGGCAGACGCTGAGGCGGGATACATGCCGTGTGCCACCACAGACACAGACCAGACCCCTCTCGACACGTTACCGCCCTCAGCAGGCGACCCCAGTTCATTTTCCCCTTTGCTTGAGGAAAACCAAGACACTCATTTGCAGAACGGCCACATTGAACACTTCCAATCAAGTGCGGTATGAGAAGAAACTACGGCACAACCTTCGTTAGAGTTTACAAAAATCTGAGAAGGATCTATTTAAATCAAGACCATTTTATGAGCATGCTTTGCCGTTGAGAACAATCATTTGTATCTGTACATACGGGCACTAAAATAACTGTTTTTAAAGTGTTAGTTCATCCCAAAAAAGAAAATTGTCATCAGCGTCACTCTAAACATCACGGAGAGCCTTCTGGAGTTATTTAGCCGCTTGTGCAGGCTGCTCTTTTCCATATATAACAGTAGTTTCGCATTATATTCCAAGCCTTTGTGAAAATCTTGGCTTCTCAAACTCCCCGTTTAAACCCGTTACATGTGAAAACAGCTGTGATATGCGGCTGTAATAACAGCTTTGATGACCATTTCCTTTTTCGAGTGAACTGTGGCTTTAAGTACAGTGTAATAATGTACCTGCGTTTGGTGGGTCCAGGTAAGCGTTGAACAACAATGCAACACTACAGTTACCCGTTACAACGGTCTAATCATTTGGTAACTGACGGTTCTGCTGCTTTAGTGATCTGACGAGGTTTTTTATATCATGTTTTGCATAAAGGTGTTAATGATAGCTTTGACCTGTCGGTGTTATTTGAACTCCAAGATGCTAAAGAAGCAGCCAGTGCTTCGTCTCCATTAATGTCATTAAAGTGACAAAAGTGAAAGTGACGTGACATGTGTTATGTGTATTAACCCTTTGATGCATGAATCAAGTCACATAGGTAAAGAAAAGAAAATCATTCCAAATCATTTTTTTCTCCCAAAATGGTAATTTAGTTTGCTTGGTGCATCAATACTTTGTTGTCATAAATAAAAACACATTGACATATCAAGAGGACAGCTGGTTTGACTTGTGTAAGGGTCAAACTGTATAATAACTACTAGATAATGGCTACTATAGCATCAAAGGGTTAATGTTGGTCCATTCTGATGTGTTCTGTGTTCAGTGTCATTATTTAAGTAAATACAAAAAGGTACATTGTGTGTTCAAAAGACATTTTGAACCATTAAATCATCACCCATAACTGAGTAATGGAAAGCTCTATGTGTATTTGGGTCGTATTTCATCTTAATAGTCTTCAAAGCAGATTTAATTGTTTATGCCAAATATGACATGGACATTTCTTTATTTATTTTTCGTAACATTCTATGCTCTTATTTTTTGAGCACCAACTACAACCATCATTTAATAAAAAATGATGCTTCCAGTCGTAGTTTGTATGTGACACACATGGGATTTCTTATGAAGTATTTCAAGGCAGCATTTTCAGAACAATTTTACAGTTTTTACTATTAATTTTGTATTGTACAGAATTATTTTTGTGGCTATTTGTAAAATATATAATGTATTTGTAAAATCTCCTCCCTTTTTATTTTTCCAAACGACGTCTCGGATATGTTTTTACAAGCGAACGTGTGACCCGCAGGCCAGACATTTTATGGCTTCTAGTCATTGTGAAGTCATGTTATCTTTGCCTCTCACAGGGGTTTGATGGGTCTTCTGTGTTTGTTCAGTAGCTTGAACTCGAAGTAGTTCTGGTCAGTAATATATATTATGAAGAAATGATGTAATTTAACTCTATTCCTCATGTAGAATACTTGTGATATCTCTGATCTTGAAGGCTCATTTGATTGTCTTTGTTGTATATGTTCCACGCTACAGTATGTTTTCAGTATTTCCTCCTCTTGCTTTCTGTCAGTCAGAAACACGATTCTGAGGTCTTCAGTGTGTGTGAATGTTGTTTGATGGTCATGCTGTGCAGCCGTACACACATTTTGTACAGTTTGCCTCGTGATGATCTTGTTTCTGTATAAATGGTTATGTGACCCCTCATATGACTTTTGTTTTCTTTTTCTGTATAAAGGTGAATCTTGTCTGGGTTGCAAACATCTGGCTTATTTTATTTATTTATTTTTTGCATTGTTTTCCTGTAAAAAAACTTTATCACTCATGGTATTTGCTTTAGAGTTTTAATACTTGAATGTTTGATTTACAGTTATATAAATCATTATTGACACTGAAATGTACAAAAAAAAATTACTTAATTGGTTATGATACATTTTATGATCAAAAAAGAAAAGAAGAGACTTGGTTTGGTTTTGGGGTGAAATGGACATTATTTCTATTAAGAGACCCAGATTAAGAGTGTATCTGCCCTGTTGGACATTACCATTGATTGACTGATTGATTTTAAATATTTAAAAAAATATTTTTTTTTATTTTAATTCAATGTTAGGTTTTTTCCCCTTTAAATGTAAAATTTCAATTTAAAAATTGTAATTTGTAAATATGCAAATGTTAAATCTGCAAAATGTGCAAATATGTGTGTGTGTGTGTGTGTGTGTGTATATAGTTTATTTACACAGAGCTTTACTTTTTACTTTTTTTTTTTTTGGATGATTTAAAATCCTGATGCTGCAGACCTCTCTAGCTGTTTTGTGCTGATTGTCACGTGTGTGTCCTGGGACTCTGGTTGTCATGGTGTGAAGCTCCACCTTGGAAAGAGACGATCCACAAACAAAGTGATGCTCAGCGCAGCTGAAAGACAAATCACTGGAGGAGAAAACTTCCTAGAAACGGAGATCAGGTATGTGGAATTTTTTTTTAAATCAGAATGATTTGAAGTCTTTAGTTTGTTGTGTTCACCTGCTGTACCTGAGCTCTCGGTCTTTTGTTCAACCCTGAAGTGTGATGCATTTATTATTGAATTGTTCAGAATGTCAACATGAGAAATGCTTTCAAGCAATGTATGTAAACAAAAACATTTATTTTGGATGCAATTAATCGCGATTAATCGTTTAACAGCACTAATTCTTACACATTTGTTTGTTGTAACGGTTCTCTCTGTTTGCAGTATGTTGAAGTGGACGCTGTTGGTGGTGTGTGTGAGTGTGTGTTTGGGTCAGAATCCCATCAACACTGACCCAGCAGAAGAAACTGAACTGACCTCTGATCAGCACGACCGTGTCACACTCAAACAGACCTGTAAGACACACAGAGCTCTGATTAACAGTGATTTCTCAATGCACCAGTTTGATTATACGTAATTAATATTAAGAACATGCTTTGGTCTGCATATGATCCAGGTTTAGAACTGATTGTTTCTTGTCTTAATGTAAATTTCATATCAAGAGAAATAATATGTGTCATTTTAGCAGATGCCAATGCAGCATTTTTTATTTTCATTGACGTTTTTCATCTAATATATATATTTTTTATAACTTTATTTTATTTCATTTTATAAATATTTAAGTTTTACTAGTTTATACCTTAAACTAGTTTGAGTTTTAGTTAACAATAACAACACTGGTAGTAAATAATCATGTATTTCCGAGTCATTATGTGAGCTACTGAAGGAAAGGAAGTCTCAGGAGGAGGATGAAAAGATGAGTGCAGTTCAGCTCACAGCCACTAGAGGACACTGATTATATGCGTTTTGAAAAGTGGGGACATGGGGTAATGTCCTGAAAAGTCACCTTCTCCTTGTAATACCTATGTCATACCCTTGTCATACAAATTTATGTCCTCATTTGTCACAAAAACACACACACACACAACGTTGATTATGATGCCAACTATTTGCTATTTTATTAATTTCTCTTCTCTGGTGTTTTCTGTTGTGTTCATTTCTGTGCTGTTCCTATGATATATTTATTTTAAGACTTGTTGGGTTAAGATGAAGATTTTTTTTTAAATGTAATTTAATTGTATTTTATTAGTAACATTTATTAGTAGTTTCTTTCCATATATATATATATTCTTTTATTTTATTTAAGATGATTCATTTAAAAAAAAATGTATTATTAATATTTATGAATAGTTATTTTATTTTATTTTGAGTTTTGTCTCCCAGAACATGATAGAATATAGATGCTGTTCCTATGATGAATTCATTTGAAGCTTTACTGACCTGTGACCTGTGTGTGTTTGTTTTACACTGACAGATGTTCATATGATGAAGAACAACAATAAGCTGGGTGTGTTCATCGCTGCTGCTGTAGGAACTCTGACGCTGATGGCTGTGGTTTACTGCATCTACAACCAGTTCTACACCAAAAACATTTACTCACACACTCAGCTGCATGAATCAGGTGCTCGCAAAATAAACAGCAGCATTCATCCCTCACAATCCCAGAAGGCATTGCAATAAATGCTTAAAAATTATCCAAGAACTTAAGTGATTATAAACTATAATAAATGTACTTTTAATTAATTCTGTATTGCATGGCCTAATAAAATGTTTCATCTATTTTGAAAATGACTAATTCACTTAAAAGTTGTGTGCTTATTCTTTTAAGTAGCTCCAGATAGATTCATGAAACTATAATATCACACACACATGACGGGGTTTTGTACTCGCTCTGCTTCTGTCTGTCAGATATCGCTCTGGATCTGAGCAGCTCGTCCTCGTCTGTGTTTTCTGGGTATGTGATGGAGGGATGGATGCAGCAGAGGATGGAGAGAGGAGGAAGGAGTTACGGCTCTCTGTCTGACACTCCTTCAATAATCACGCTCCCTCCTCCTCTTTCACCTCCTCAGCGCGCGTCTCCCTTTCACTCGCTCTCTCGGTCCAGACCGCCGCCTCTGAGGACTATTTCAGCCCAGGATCTGGAGAAGAGCTTCCTCTGAGACTGTGTGTGTGTGTGTGTGTGTGTGTGTGTGGTTGCAGGGGATTGTGGGTCAGTTTACAGCTGTATGCTGAAGTGATGTGGCTCCTGACACCTTATACGGCTTCTAACCTCTGCTGCAAACACTCAGACCTGACCTTTAACCTCTCCAGATCTGAATGCAGGGCTGCTGTTAATATGCTTGATGTAACAATCTTTAAATATTGAATCATCAGAATGTTCTGTTCTGTGCTCTTGCTCACTTCTGTTCTCTCTAGTGTGTTCTATTCATTTCTTTTAGCTGTTGTTTTCTGATAGTTATTTTATATTCATTTTCTTTGCTGTTATTATGCAGAGTATATTTTGTGATTTTAATGTTCTTTCTGTTTTATTATTTTTACTTCTATTTACTATCGTCTATTCTGTTAATTTTTCCGTTCTTGTTCTGTTCTATTCTATTCTATTGTTTAATTTGCTAATAATATACAGGATGTAACGTTCCTTAAAGATTAGATTAGAATGTTTTATTCTATTCTTTAAAGATTTAATTATTAGAATAGTATAAACTAGAATGTAATGGTATCATGAACTAACAGTAAACAGTTATTTTATAGTACTTAATAAAAGTTACTGTTAATTTCTACTTGCATTTCAAAATGTAAAAATTAAAATTAGTTAAATGCATTATCTACAAACATGAATTATCAATAGATAAAAAAATAAATAAAAAAAATGTAAGAATCTCTTCTGCTCACTGTAACGCCCCTGTGTCCTTATTTGGTTGTTCCTGTCCTCATTATTAGTTAATTACCTTGATTGTGCTCACCTGTCTGCCCCTCGTTATCCACCCTATATTAGTTCCTGCCTCCTGTAGTCTAGTTTGTCGGTTATTGTGAATGTTCCCCTGAGTGTGTGTGTGTCTCATCTACCCATATCTGCCTTGTTGTCTCTACATTAAACATCCTTATTTGAATCCCTGTCATCCTCGTCATCCTGCCTGCCTCCACACACCTTGACCGTGACACTCACCAAGGCTGCATTTATTTGATCCAAAGTAAAAACAGTAATATTGTGAAATATTATTACAATTTAAAATAGCTGTTTTCTATTTGTATATATTTTAAAATGTAATTTATTCCTGTAATGCAAAGCTGAATTTTCAGCATCATTGCTCCAGTCTTCAGTGTCACATGATCCTTCAGTTTATTATAAAAGTACATTAGCTTTGACTGATTAATGTGAAATTAAAATAATTAAGTTCATTGCTAGTTTATAATACCTAATGCATTTAATAATGTTAAACATAAAAGCTTTGAACATTCATAAATAAGCTTTTTGCGTGGTCATCTTTAGATACTCCAGTTCAATTCAGACCCATCAGTTCTGGAGCTTTGTAAACCATTTCTTTAATTGTAATTGCTCAGTAAAATATGTCCAATGTAAAATTATATGTACAGATGTTCTTCCAGTAATATTAATAGAACGTTCTTTCAACGTTCTTTGGTGTTTAATAATGTTCTTAAAATGTTTGGAACGTTTTTAAATGTTACTGTTTGTTACTACTTGTTTCAGAGAACATTCAAAAGTAACATTCCCATAATGTTTGCAAAATGATACAGTGGAATGTTCCCTTAACATTCACATAACCAAGAAAAAACGTTTCTAATTTTTTTTGAAAAAACTGCTTAGTAGTCTGACTACTGTTTATCATATTTCACCTTAATGTATAATGACTTGCATTTAAAAAAAAAAAAAGTTTGTTAAAAACTGGACGGTCTGAATTCACAGAGAACGGTTTTTTTTTTTTCAGTTTAATTCGTACGTTAGCAAAAAGTTCTTAGAATAAATTTTATGTCAGCTGGTAAAACAGCCTCATTTTCAGCTACGGTTGCTGTTTACGGTGTTTATTACCACGACAACCGTCCGAGAAACAGTGTGTATTATATGTTTATAATGGTTTTAAATGCTTGCTTACTAACCAAGTAGAGGACACATACGCAGTTACTTTTTTGGTTGATATAATCCTTAGGTGTGTAAATGTATAATTGCCTTTTCATAATTTTTTCAGTTTTATTTAAATTTGTAGTTAAAATAACTAAAAATAAACGTATTTTAAAGTCTAGAATTAGACAGCCTTTGCACACAGGCTGACGCTGGTAACTCATCAGTGGACTTTCCTGGTCAATATAGGCTATATTTTTTCAGACTTTTCTCATTCTATATT